CTTTCACTATGTACTTCGATTAATTTTTACCTAGCTGCAAAAGGAACATTCAAAATTTTCGTGTTTGGAGATTTCATCACACAATTAATAAGCTTGATCAGGAGTATATGTTCAGCCTAACAGATGAGTAAACTTCTCAAAATGGTAATGATATGTGTCTCTCTATCTGTCTTTTTCTGTACCAAATATATGAATTGATCGATCTTTGATGGCGTTTTCCAAAAGTTGAAATTTTGAACTGATTCTGTATATTATTAAACGTACGAAATGTATTACACTCGATAAAACCAAATACTTTGTTGCACTCATTAATACTTAAACTGGCATGATTTCACATGCAATTGGAAGTGTTAAGAGTATAGAAACGAAATGATACGGACGAAATTTTACAAAAAAATTCGCAAAGTAATTTGGCATCATCATTCATATTTTTTATACCCGAGCGCAGTTGTGAACAAGGGTATATTAACTTTGATCACATAACGGTTGTTTTTAACAGCCAAAAGCGTAAGTGTTGGTTCAATTAAGGCCCAGTTTCTCAATGGCTGATTAACAATAACTGCTGGTTAAACATCTTTATGAACGTGATCGACTACATAACATATAGCACGGAGTCGATAACGTCGATAACGAGGTTTAACCTTTAGTTAGTGGTAACCAGCCATTGAGACACTGGCCCTAAGTCTAACTCAGCATATTATCTAAAACATAAATTCGAAAGTGAATTTGTTTGTATGTTACGCTTTCACGCTTTAACTACTCAACCGATCATGATGAAATTGTGCATTCTGGTGTTATTTAGCCCAACTTAAAATATCGAATAGCTTTTATCTCGATTAGACAACTACTCATATAAACTAAATAGTTCATACTGCATTCCTCTGGAAGTATTTGTGTTAGAGTATCGAAATTTAGTATGGTGATATATAAAATCAATTACATACTTATGGATGAAAATGGGATCTATAGGCCAAGAGGTGTGAAAGTTCCATACAAACTGAAAGTTCCATGAACTCGAGGAAGTAAATATGGTAGAGTACTGGTGAGAAGATAACGAAAAAAGTTTAAGAAAGTTATAGTCTGAAAATATTTTGAAGAGGGTTGCCACCTAATTAAAAAGCTAAATTCAAATTATTTTATAAATTAAGTGAGCTATTACAATATTGGTATCAATCGAACAGGTTTTGAAAATGATTCATTTCTAAGCTACATGTAGAAGGGTTATATATGTTTAAAAAGTCAAATTCAACTTGAATTAAGAGAATAATCTTTTTAAGAAATCTAACACGATATGGGCTTCAGACATAAGGTTGTAGTTTGAAAATAAATATTTTGAAGAGAGTTTGCCACCTGTTTGATAAGTGGAATTTAATTAATTGAGGCATTTCATTTTTGGTGTCTTCGTAAATATTTCGATAGCAATCCATTGTTCTTTTGAAGTCACTTTGAAATATAGCATTCTATTAGGTAAGGTGTAGAGTTTCAAGTTATGCACAAAACGAGTAAACCAAATTACAGGATTAAATTACAAGAAAAGTGCGAGCAAAAAAGAAAAACCGCGAGCAAAAAGTAGCTTGGAGGTGTTTAAAAAAAATCGCGTACAAAAAGATCACACAAAAATAAGATCAGATGTACTTTCCTCCGGACTAGATACGAAGAATTTACTGGGCGGGACTAGGTTGAATAGTTTTTCTAAGAAAATTATTTTCTTTTTTCGGAATCAACCCTTTGCACCCTACTCCGTTTCTTCTTTGTTTTTTTTTTCTTCAATAACAAAGCTAGACTCTCCCACCTTAAGCACTGCTCTCTAGTGTTTTCAGCGCGAATATTGGGTGTAGGGTTCGAACGATACTATCGATATTGAGTAAGTATCGATACTGAGGGTATAAAAATGAGTACTTTAATACTCGATACCTTATTTGGTGATTTTACTCGATACTTTCCAAAGTACTCGTAGTATCGAATACTTTTTAAAAACACACACTTTTTAAATTTTGTCTTTCATTGGCAACCCAATTTTCTTTGCTTATATGGATTACTATCATTCAATTTTGTCCATCACTTGAAATAAACTGAAATTTCGTGTAGTCTGTTACATAACATAAGCCAAATAAGTTTAAGTTTAATGGCCTTATTCATAAAAAATAAAGTAGGCTTAAAGAGCTTAAATAAAATGACACTTGCATACATTTTTCAGTTTATAAACCTTTTTTATTTTTATGAATAAGGCCCTAAAACTTTACTTTAAAGTTCACGAAAATACAGAATTTTTAGAAACTTTTAGGGTATGCAGTTTTGTAACCTATTCAACTTTTCGTGTAGCCTACTACCGTTGACTTTTAATTAAAACTTGCACAATATTATACAAAGTTGAATAGGCTACCAAAATGCATACCCACAAAGTTTCCAAAAATTCTTAATAAACTTTAAAATTCGTGAAGGTAAATATGTGTGTATTTATGTATGTACATTTAACGTTTAAATTACTTCTAACGTGGAAGTAAGTTCTGCAATGACATAAAAATCAAATATTTTAAATGTCTATTGTTTTAATTTCAGGAAATATATATAGATATACGATTGAAGAACAAAATAATTTTAGTATCCCAAAAAACGTATTTTAATGAATCCGATACTGAGTAGTATCGATACTTTTAGAGTATCGATACCATATGCTCGATGCCAGAATGAGTACTCAGTATCGATACCAAAGTCTGAAATTTCGAACTCTAATTGGGTGCATTCCAAAACGTCAAAATACAAAGCATTAGTCTCCTTCATTTCTAAACGTCAGTAGATTGTAATGCCAAATTGGCGCAACCACTGTTAGATGCTAGTTTTCAACTTGTTTGAGCAATTTATACTTTTTATTCTAGTGCGGCTTAGAAATAAAAGAGTGTATTTTGACGTTTTGGAGTGCACCTAATGCATTCAACCATTTCACACTTCTTCTAGAATAGTGGTGCCATGTTTGAAATGTTACAATATAATAATGGGATCCGGAGATATTTGTCAAAACGAGAACCTGGACGGGGCCTAGGTCGTTAAATAATGTACCTTTCTACAAAGAAAAACAAACACAAGTCAAATATATAAAATATTGCTATCAAACAAAAATAGTTTAATAAATGATAGCATTGCCGCCTATCTAGAAACCAAAAAAATAACCAATATTTAAAACACAAAATATTACATTTTATGATGAAATGAAAGGTGAATTGATACCGTTGGCTCAGACATTTTTTGAATGCCCTTACCACCTATCTCAAAATTACAATCTATCCATTGTGTAATAAGCGAAATAAAAAAATTAAACTGGCTTAAAAAATTGTTAATATCCGTGAAAAAGGGCACTAAAAATTTAAAAAATCTCGATTTGATTTGAATCAAAAGACAAATTCATGTGAAACAAATAAGTAGTGGTTAAATTATTTCGAAAAATATTAACGTTTACTTAGGTGAGCTAGACCGATTTTAAAATACCTCTAAATATGTAAATATTTTGAGTCCATGTATACAATTTTTTAACATTTTAAGCTTGAACGCTTCCATCATTTTAGGTGCTTTTTTGAGGAAAATATTTGAAAAACTAATATTATTTATAAAAACTCGCGTAAATCTCAATATTTTTCCGAAATATTTTGGTGGAAGTCTTTAAATATAATAAATTTTATAACTCCGATTAAAGATGGATGGTTTAAAACAAAAAATAGTGGGCGGAACCGGAAGAAAATTCTTTCCCGACACTCCCGAATAAATCCGCGACTTCCGAAAAGAAAACAGAATAACCGGATGATTCAGATCTTTCAGTAATGACGAAGATAAGTAGAGTATTTGAGAAAAATATTCAAATATATACAGTGGCGGTCAAATGTGGATGAATGGAGTTTTGATTTTAATATTTACAATGTTTTCAAGCTAAAATTTTTTTCTTGTTTTCTAATAAAGATATGGTTCATGTTTTAACAAAACCCATATAAATCACACTTTCAAACTTTGTACAGACTTTAGAAAAATCCCACATATTTTTATCTAAATTTCGAGCTTTTTAACCAGAATTTTTATAGCATTTTTGGGTATGCAGTTAACAGGCTTATCAAATTTTAGTAAGATATGTACAGGCTTTGAGCGGCTAAAAATCGCATTGATTTTTAATAAATTTTTTGTTGACGGCATTATGCACTTTTTTCCATAAAAACATGAAACTTGCACTTATTTAAAAATAAAATTTCATAAGCCTGATGACTGCGTACCCAAAAATTTTATAAAAATTCTGGTTAAAATCTTGAAATTTAGATAAAAATTTTTGGAATCTTTCTATAGTCTGTATAAAGTTCAAAATGGTGATTTATGTGATATTTGTTAAAACATGAACCATATTTTTATAAAAAAATAACAGAAAAAATTTTTCTTGAGAAACATTGTAAATATTAAAACCAAACACCATTCATCCACTTTTGACCGCCACTGTATCTATACTTATTTGCGTTGCCACAAAATATATAAAAAATATTTTCTTTAAAATAATTTAAGTGCTATGAGAACAAAATATACCAATTCTCGTCTGCATTTGAATTCGTAAAGAGTGCTTGAATATTTCAAGCTCTTTTACTTAAAACCTGTTTTATTATTAAAAAAAAAAAGCTAAGGCCCGTACTTATAGTCAAAATGAAGTCGACCCAAAAGTTAGTTGCAGCTTTTTCGACAAATATCCCATTGAAAATTACATCAAAAAGCCGTAATTGCTTCAGAATCGACTTTATTTTAACTATAACCACGGGCCAATATAATTGCGGATTGTGCTTGTGTGCCAACAAATTAGGCGTTCAAATTATTAATATACAGATATCGAATACGTTTACATATGTATGTAGTATGTATTTTTAATTATAGCAAAAATACTTGTAATAAAAACGGAAATTAAAGTTTTACAAATATTTACTTAATGCACGTTTTATCCTAACATAAGCGGTTAAAAGAATTACTCTTTGCATTTGCAGGCTATTGGATTTTTGGCGCGAAGTTTTGTGATACTTGGGTCGCCTTCGATGTGATGTGCTCCACGGCGTCCATTTTAAATTTATGTGCCATCTCAATGGATCGCTATATTCACATAAAAGACCCACTCAGGTAAGTGGCAATCTGTGTATTGTACATGCATACATACATACATAACTATATGGATATATGATTTTATGGGTGAATAATATAACCACCAATAACGGTAAAAATAAGCACATCAGCTACAAAAGAGACGTAAAACAGCCACAGAAGTGTTCAAAATCGAAAAAATAAGTGCTAGTTGCAAGAGCTGGATGGAGGGAAAGGCAGCCTCTACCGTTTGCTATGCAGTAATATTACTTTGTGTGCATGATGGGCCAACTGTTGGTCGACGTGTTGCAAAGGCTGCAACAAGGATAGCGTATGCATTGAAAAGCGGTGCAAAGGTTTATGGCTGTAGCAGCAAGCTACCAATTTGGAGGACGCGCGTATATAAATGTATACATTTACTTGTAGATATACATATGTATGTAGTACATAAGTATGCGCAAAACGCCGTATATTAACACGACGGAAAATTGATTGAATAATTGACAGTAGGGTACCCACCAGTAAATGTACAGCAAACTTTTTAGTCACATAGAACGGTGAACCCAGATAGATACGTTGACGTGAATAGTGCCACTGAGCGGGCAAAGGAGTGAAAGCGCGAAATAAGTATTGGTGGTGTGGAGTGAGCTGGTGAAAGGATGTGAGTGAGCTGATTGCGAATACGACAATATTTTCCTATTTTTGGCAGCATTTTATCGATTTTTTAACGTACACCGACTTTTGCATGCACCCATGTGTTGTGCAAACTGAAGCAGCAGCAAAGCAACGTGATTGAGTACAGCCACATATGTATACATGGGCGCTGCTTCGTTTTTATATGAAACTCTTAGTATTATTATATAAAAAACGATGGGATGAACGCTCGTTTACATATGTCGATATACGTATATTTTATTTGCACATGGATATACATATATAATATGCATTAACGTACAGAGGCAGCCAGGTGAATTTAATAAAATCGAACACCTTCCGCCTACGTCTCTGGGCCTCATCGACGCTTTGCGCATCACCTTGGCTGGAAAGACAGCAAATCGATCAGATTGCCATTTTATGCATCGTCATAATCGGTTTTAGTACAAGTACACTGTGTCGTTGCTGAGTTCATATTTATCGCCACTGTTTATATTTTTCATTTCACTTCACTATTTAAAATAGCCGGTATGAAATATTGCCAACATTTAAATAAACTTAACGGCGAAAGTTTATGCTTATGTTCTTCTTGTCCACCGAAGAATGGCATTTCAGTGTTTGTGGCATGCAGGTTTACGTTTAGTGCGTTTATACTGACCCAAAAGCAATATGGCTTTTCCACCAAGTTATTGTTTAATTTTGTCACGGTAAATATGTACACCGATTGCAAGAAATGTGATTCAAGTTGAATACTTGAATGCACATTTGTATGTCTGGCTGTATGCGAGGTTCGGGCTCGAACGCCGTTAGCAGTGTTGCCAGTTTAGCCGTTTTCCAGCTAGATTAAGCCGGTTGTGGCAGCAAAGAGCCGGAGAAAATTCGATTTAGCCGGCAACCGAATTTTAGCCGTTTTGAAAAAAAAAAACCGGTTTTAGACTACTTTGTAAAAAGTTTTCATTTTGAGAGAACCAGGGAGTCAAAATCTTTTACAAATGGCTACAATCCCTACCTCGGATAAAATTTGCATGCCGGGTTGAGTTAAATAAAATTTAAAGAAAATTGTTTCTAATCCGAAAGGTCTTAATGTACTGGGTCGATTTCAGTGATTCTTATTTAAATCAAATAATTTTTTTTTCAAAAGAAAGGCATGGCGGGCATGTATATTATATATATTTTTTAAATTAACTTTCTCGCAGGGAACTCATTTATATTCCAAAAACCGAACACAGAGTGTAGTTTTCGTATGCCGAGAGACGACTTTACTTCTGAATTTCCTACTCAGTCAAAAGTAGCAGTTGGTAGTAAGAGTGATTCTTCCTTGAATTTCGATGCTGACATTATTATCGGTGTTAATGCTGGCTCCCAAGTAAACAGAATTCTCAACTTTCTTATCCTCGTTGACCACCAGACGCACTGGCTTTGCTTCCTTATCAAACTTTGAAAAAGAGGAACAGAGTTCGCGGTGTTTGTTTCCGCTGATGTCGATCTTATCGGCGTACGCCAGCAATTGCACGCCCTTGTAAAAAATTGTTCCTGAGCGGTTCAGTTCTGCAGCTATTAGTCACATTAAAAGTAGACGCCCTGCCTGAGACCCCGTTTGATAACAAACGGTTCGGAGAGGTCTTTTCCAATTCTTACGGAGCTGGTTGTATTGCTGAACGTCATTTTACACGGCCCTATCTCGTCCTTTTTTTTATTGTTATCCGAACGCGGCTTTTATGTCGAAAAATATGTGGGTACTGTCGATCCATTTCGCACGGGTCTTTTCCAAGGTTTGGCCCATTGTGATCTCCTGGATTTTCCAGGTCTGTAGACACACTTATAAAGCCCAATGAGTTCGTTGGCGGTGGGCTTCTATCTTTCGCACAATATGCTCGATAAGACCTTGTAACCTACCACTAGAAGGCCGATCCCGCAGTAGTAGACGGATTGGGAAGAGCACCCTTAAACTCCAGTCGTCGAGCAAGCATTCATCTGAGCACATTCTGCATAAGAGTTGAGGCGTGCGCCATAATAACTCCGTACTTGAATAGCTCAGCTGGGAGGCTGTCCGCTCCAGCAGGTTTGTTGGTTTTCAAGCGCGCTACTGCTATTCGGCCCTAGTTATAGTCATCATCATCTCGAAGCTCGGGTTCGGGTTAAAACCTTCCGTAAGTTGCCTGTCTCTCTGGTAAGATTTTAAAATTTTAGCGCTTTCTTCCTGTAGGCCAGCATTTCAAGCTCTTCGCACTCACGTATTTCGGCCTCTCTCTTCTTATTGCGGAAAATACGTTTCGCTTCCCTTTTCTGCTCCCTATAATGGTACCACATGGCTCGCTTTGCTCCCGATCGCAGCGTAGCCCTTTAGTGACATATTTTTCCTCTGTAGCTTTTTGACGCTCCTCATCGTTGCTCGCATAAGTCGGTTTGTTGCAAGAATGATAGAATACAAGATTGCGCCCATCACAGAGGATTTTTTGAGAATAAGTTCTGTTTGATTTCTCAGTGGTGCATTTGCGAGAGAAAAATGCCAAAACGCGAGCAACAATGGAAGAAGAAGAAAAATACTTTCAAATAAAACATAAACAAGTTTCACAAGTGTGACGTCGGACAAACAAATTCTCTGAGAGCGGAATAGCGGTACCGAGAGGGCGCCACCATTATTCTCTACATCGTGGGTTTGTCTGACAGGTAAATCCAGACAGTGAGCAGGCCATTAAGAGGCCATTTACAATCGGAAAATCAAAATGCAAAGAACTAGTTTATTTGTTAAAAACATTTTTATTCAACCTCGCGAGTGCTACAATATAAGAAAGCAAACTTTTTCAATAGAAAAGGTACGCCAGAAGTTTGTAACTGACCAATTTTTATACCCGAGCCCACCTCTGCCAAGGGTATTATAACATTGTTCACATAACGGTTGTTTGTACCAGGCAAAACGAATCGAGATAGACATAGACAAATGTGTACATAAATGATCAGAATGAAAAGAGAAATCGATTAAGCGGTGACTGTCTGTCCGTCCGTCCGTCTGCCTATCTGTGTACACGATACCTGATGTAAAAATTGAGATATCTTAACGAAACTTGGTACGTGTTCTTCTTTCGGGCATAGGATGGACGGTATTGAAAATGGGTAAAATCGGACAATAACCACGAAAACTCCGATATTTGAGTAACTAATGAAGTGTATTCACTCAAAATCGATACTTACAATCATTTTAGACAAAAAATGTTAACTTTATAAATTTTTGGAAAGTAGGCGTAGCCACGCCCACTTATGATTTTATGTGTATACCTTAGTAACCGCTCCACCAATTTCTCCCAAACTTGGCACAGTTGTTGGTCCTAGTTAAAACGTACCAAATGGCTGAAAATTTTTAAAATCGGACAATAACCACGCCCACATCCCATGAAACGGTAATTTAGAGAAATATGAAATCTTCGATAAATCAGTAAATACTAAAGATAGTTTATTCAAAATTGATGCTTGCAACAATTCTTTACTCGGGTGTACGGGGCGTATGAGTAACATTATTTCTTGCTCATTTTTCATCTTTGCGCATTTTCATTTGACCACTTATTATTTTGTATTTATCCATCGATTTTCTTCATCAGTAACTTGATTTTTTTTTAACAGAACGGGCTTTAGTACAAATGCAAAAATGTGGCATAGTACCCGTTATTTTTTATATTTTTCTTCTGTTAAATTTTGATTTTTTTTTAATTTAAAAAAAAAAAGCCGGAATGATTAATTAATTTGCCAAAAACTATAAGCCCTATCGGTTTATGGAAAATTGCATTGGCTTTCATTTGCCGTATTTTATATTAATATATACTAATTTTTGCTTCAAGCTGAATAACGGTAAATTGCAAATATCTCGAAAACTATCCATAAAAAAAATTAAACCGAATTTCGGAATCACCGAGCAATTCTACATAGATATTGGATAGTGGCGTCTGGAGAACAAAAATCAAATTGAAATTTGTGATCCAGTGTAAATAGTGGCCGCTCACAGCCGGGAAAGTATGAAAGTGCGAGAAATATAGGAAAAATAGGTAGTTTAATTCCCGATCCCATAAAACGGAACTTTTCCAAATAGATTACTATATAGCCTGATTGAAATTTCCTATGTGGAAAGCTATTAAAGTACACCATCAGTTAAAAATTGAGAAAGTTGCAGAAATAATATTTGGCAAACAAATTCATACGGCTTGAATATGATTACACCGTGCGACAAAAACCAAAAAAATTTTTAAAAAATTCTGTGCAAAGTGGAATAATAGTATGGCTACCTAAAAGAGAATTCTGTAGAATTTAAGAAATATATCTCTTTCGCTTCACATGGTATTGAAAATGGCATTTAATTAATTTAATTTTTTTAAGCTAACAAATTTCATGAATGA